AGTGTGAATAGTGAAAGGTTAATGATAGTCACGTTCGCGCGTAATAGCATTAAGTTATAGTGCGAAGGATTACATGAAATAGCCATTAAAAATAACGCAATACTGTCGCCTATGAAGAAGTATATGAAGCAGTATATGAACTAACTGGACGCGCTCTCGCTTTGACCTCTTTGACAAACGAGCCATTCGGGGGAGACACATATGTTGACCAACCCGCCATTCGCATCCCACGAGAAGTTACGAGAGGGTCTCCCGGCATATACGAATTGTTGGAACGCATGTCAGAAGAGGCATATAGATGTTCGCGCTTAGACGAGCGGAGATAAAACTTTTCTACAAAATTTCCATATGCCTAACGATAGAATCGTTCGGAGAATAGTTCTGCATAGTTTGAATTCCCTGGTGAGAATTTTATCGGTCGTTCTATGAATGTAAACGCGGATGCAACTAAAATCATTAAATGCTTTTAATATTTTTTATTCTTATCATATATATGTTTCTACCGATAAATGTTAAATGTGTGTATAATATATAACATACATACATATAAACATATATACATATGTGTATATTTGTATGTATATGTATATGTATATATATATAAACATGTTAATCATCATGATTATAATTATATTTAGAATATCTCATCAATCATAATATTCAAGTTTATTGTAACTTTTATAATTTCTGAAGATATTTTATTATAAAAAATGTATGTGTCAGTTTTCAAAATAGGCATTATTTTACCAAACATATATTGATAAATATATGACGTGTAAATTCTATTAAATTCAACAAGTGTCCTCTCAAAATTACGAAATTTTATTTTGACACGATATCTAATAAAGAAATTATTAATTAATAAAATTAATTGATATTTAATAATTATCCTATTTTATAAAAGTAAGAATTTTTATGTTAATTAAGATATATGCATAAAAATAATTATTAATATATTAAATATATATTAAAATATATAATAGAATATAATAGAATATAATAAATTAATTAATGTTTAATAAATAATTAATAATAATTGTCAATTTTCATTAATAATATAATCACACAAAAATAGCTATAAACCTGTATTAAAATATAATATAAATCGTGATAAAAAAGTATTTTCAATGTTTTTCATATCTAAAAAAAGCGTAGGCGTTATATTTCACGGAGATATGCAATGAATCATGGTGCAACACTGCATATTTATCGCATACAACGGATTTCGAATTTGACAGTAGCGGAAATCGAATAGTTGGGCATATTGTCATAGTATGTATCTATATAGTTAAAAATAAACAAAAATCGTAAAAAATTTCAATTTGTCTACAATTTCAATTTCAAAGATCTATCTCCTAACAAAAAACGATAAGGCTGATTTTTCCAACTTCTTGATAAGTTTACCCGATAGGTAGCATATTTTCGTTTTTTTCAGATAAGTTTTAAAAAAGGAGTCGAAGATATGCTATATTGGGTAAAACCTACCAAGAAGTTGGAAAAACCGACCCTTAGAATGTTAAATTATCGCGTATGTTTACGACAGCTCATTGCGATATACAATTATAATCTTTAAAATATTTAACTTTAAATATCTAAAAATCTCTAACATATTTGACAGTATTGTCATATCTTTACGTGATTTTTTTTGATTTGTTATTTTGAGATTGAAGCAACAAAAAAAAGAAGAAATATATCACAGAAGAATATCACAAATTCATTATTCGCGCAAATCAATCAGAGAGATTTTGTAATCAATATAATTATTAATTACGTGCTGTATATACATGATTCAACATCTGACTCAAAAGCGGCGCGTAAGATAGTAAGTAAAAAAGCCGTGCGCAAAAACCACCTAAGCTTTTAATTAAAACTCTTTAAAGGGTTCTGTAACAAAGTACTTTCGTGCGCACTTCACAAAAACGGATTAATTAAGACAGCTGGAAAAACCATCGATAAGTTTAAAATTGATCTTTGAATCTAAACAATCGAAAAAATAAAAAGCACAGCAAAGGTTAAAGAAGGTATTCAAAAATCGACGTGAAAAAAGTGGAGTAACGAGAGACTGACGCGACGAAAAAGGCGCGAAAAGGCGCGAAAAAAATTTTCGACTAACCACGTGCTCCTAGTGTTCGTCATGCCCGGTGAGGATGAGCCTCGGGACGTACGCAGAAGCCGGAAAACCCCTCTCGACACTCAGCTGAGAAAGGATCCGAAGGAACGATAACGCGCACCACCTCCGCGGACGGGAGTCGGCCACTGACTGAACGTGACTCCGATTCTCTCTGGAACCGGGAGGAGGCTGCGTCGACCGGTCATGGACCACGGGCCTGCGGCCTTCCGACACTGAAGTCGCGGTGCCGCAAATTTCGCTCCTACCCTCTTATTTCACCGCGCTTACCGGCCTCGTGAAATTTTCGACTTATAAACTCGCGTAATATGTTAAAATTTATTCCAAATTTAATAATATGGAATTAAAATAAATTTTAAATATGTAATACATAGTTAGGTATATGTTTAGCAAGTTTTATCGTTATTAGATTCTTGACGATTAAACGCACACCAGAGAGAGATTTTAATAATTATGATCACATGTAATTAAAGATCAAACAAACTTACCTGTGAAGTTTGATCGAAATTATATTAAGAGCCTTGTTCGAAAAGATTACAACATGTACATATTATAATCTTGAAAACGAAGCCTGAAATATAATTACTAATTTTTATACCTCAGAATGGGCATGAGAATATATTTTTGTATAATAAAAAAGAGTTTGCATGTAATAAATACGACGTATGTAAATATCTTTTTTATATAAATATGTACATATAAATATATGTATAAATAAATTATGCAATATTGGTGTAATATTGATAAAAATAGAGAATAAAGATCATTTTTTTATATGTAAAAATTGCATATAAGATTAAAAAGAGGAAAAATTTTATTTCACTCGAATATGCATAATTTTTAGGACATAAAAATAAGAGCAAATGAACAATGTTCACGTAAAACATATCTAACTGAGATAATAAGACGCGCAAAATGCAGCATCGATAATTAAATTGTTCTACATCAGGAAGTATTCCGATGTAGAATCCGATGTATAATCGTGCGTATATTAATTCTACATATATAGTACTAAATCAATTGTAAACGAACATCTATTTTTTTCTTTTGTATATAGACAAACAAGAATACCAATTAATTTTTGTTGAACTAAATTTAATTGAAATATCGACTGTTAATTTTTTATTTTCGTGATGTTGATCATGTAAACAAAGAATAAAATAAAATACGCGAGAAACTGAATGAAAATTCCATTATATGTATACATATGCATATATGCATTAGATATACATATAATCTAAGTAAATTTTATTATTCAGCATTGAGCATTGAGCATTTAGAATTTCTTCTAAAATCTTTTGTAATGTCTTTCACATACCATTTCTGTATGCGGTAATGATAAACGTAATCAATTCGTAATCTATTCTGCCTCTTAAGTCAAAATTTATGTTGTTTCATGATATCTATAAGATTTATGATAAATCAGAGTTATCGAAAGGATTCGAGAAATTTGGCACGCTACCAGTTTAAGTAGCCCAAGGCCGAGGAAACATCGCGGTCTCGCGGCTTCTAGAAATCCATTCATCCGTTCATTCACTTACTCCGCGAACGTCTTAATGAAAAGTGAGTCGGCGAGGGCGCTCGGGAACGAGCGATTTACGAGCGATCGGCTGATGTGTAATCTAGCGCGTGGAAATAGCAAATGAATAATGTAAAGCTCTTCCGATAGTTCCGTAATAGTAGCGAGTGCATAATATTATTCCTCGCGACAAAACACAAGTTGTTTGCGTGAAGAAGGACAAATATTTTTGTAATTTTGATACTAAACATTATAAAATATTTAATGCAATATTTGACGTAAAAAAATATGCAAAAAGTCATGAAATTGTTTGCACATTTAAACAATAAAAATGTAAACAAATTTCGAGAATAATGAGCAGAAAGATAAAATTTTATTTTATTCATTTTTAAATTTAGTAAAAATTTGACATAAAAAGATAATTATTTTTTTGAAAATAGAGATTTTTATAAAGAGAGAAATATTTTTTTGTTAATTCATGAAATCTGAAACTTTTATGAAACATAATTATTGCTTAATGAATAATTCGACTGCTACGTCGAATGGACCATATTTTTTTATCCCTTTTGCCACTAGTACTGTCTAATTATCACCAAAGAAGTTAAACTGCATTTTCAAGATAGGATGACATTACCGAAGTTTGGCCGATTTCAAGACGAGAGAAGTGGAACTTTTAATAATAAGATCCAGTAGACATAAACTCTCGCGTACTTCGTACTAAATCGTTTTAATAATTGCGAAAGTACCTATTCGAGAGAGTAAGGTAATTCTCCATTTGGAGTGAAAAGACTGAATCGCACACTATTCAGCGCGATGCGTCTTTTCGTCCTGATGCAATTTTTTGTGACTGACGTTGACGTTAAGCAACGTGCCAATTTTTTCTTAATAATATTAAGCACATAAAGTTTTTTTATTGTTATTAAATTAGGAGCATTTTTGAGTAAAAGAGAGTCAGTTTAAAGTAAAAAATAATTAAAAACGATTTGATGTTTTTTAATACCTAAAAAAAGTCGCATTTGAAATATAAATATATTAAATTATTAAACATTGTACATAATATTAATAATACAATGTATAATATAATATTTCAAATATCAGTTTAACACTTAACCTGCTCATATAATTTTAATTATAGTCTTTTCCCGCATTGTATCAAGTGTATATTTTTTTTAACTTTTGGTTATTATACTGCATTTTTAAAGTAAAGAAATTATTTTGCTTTTATTTCATAGAAAGATATTCTGTTCTCAAATAAGACATAACAAAGAGAAGGATTGATTATCTAATTAAGGTAATGAAATATCTTTTTAATTAATTTAGTAAAAACAAAAAATACTTGCTATATTAATTTACCTTGACAGTCTATGGTACATGATGAACAATACGATCCTCCCCGATCCTGCGGGAATCCAGGATGCAGAGAGGAATTTATTCCTAACACAACGCCGGTTCTGTCTGTTCCTCGAGGCTATAGGGCCTAAAGGCTGTACGACACGGAAGCCGGTCCTAACGAAGGGACGCGCGCGTACAACTCACAGGAGAAAACTGACCGAAAGAAGCGCGGAACTCGCAGAGAGAACCGACCCTCGATATGAGTTGCTTTCGGTGAGAAGAAGAGGGGCCAAACAGCACGAGAGAAAGAGAGGAAGAAAATGTGAAGAAGGGAGAATGAAGAGGGGAGGGAGGGATGAGTAGGACTAGGAGATATGGGGTGGTCGACTGGGAAGAGAACGCAAGATAGCTTTAAAGAGGAGCAATGGTGGGGATTTCTTATTCATTCATACTCCAACGCCCCCGCGAATTACGAGCACTAATTCCTCTCGCTCTCTCCAGCGTCCACATTCGAAATGCGTCCAATGCCGTCCGATTAACGAATTTATCGTTCCCTGCTCTTCTTTAAGCACATTGTCGATGAAGCGTGCGAAGAATACCCACGATTCTTTGAGAGATGAATCATGACAATTTTATTTTTCATTATACGATATTCTTAGATTCGTTCCCTTAATTTATTACACACACACCCAGTGTGCTTCTCTCGTCTTTTTTAATAAATCAAACTTCACAGAAATATTAAAGAATTTCTCAAGTTTTACGGATTCTGCTTTTATTAATCATTTACTAATCAGATTTTGTTTCTTAGAAGAATTATTAAATGTGTAATAAATAAATTCTTCCACAATAGAAATATCAATGCTTTAATAATTTTCAACAAATTATAAGCAAATAAAATTTTGAAAGATTGATTAATAAAGTAACTTTTAAATTAAATTGAAAATGATGCAAACAATATTTGCGTTTTAAGTAAACGCAATTTAATTACCGAAATTATTGAAATTCATTCAATTAAAATAATTTTAATTTACAACATCGTCGATTTCTAACGGAGAATTTAGCCACTAAAAGCGAATGCATATGCTATATTTACCCAATTAATATATTCACTCGAAAAGGCTCCTGACTCTATCGATGTAGGCCGCAATTACTATAAAAAATGAAATTTTTTCTCGATGGGGAAAATATTGCCTACCTCGTCTATCGACCTACGCTATTCTGTGTGCGCGCGCGTGAACGAGCGAACTCGTTTATCATCGTTATCGGTTGAGAATCGCATCTGCGATAGACGGTCATACATTAACGGCCTTTTGTTAATTAACGCATCTGGCCGTCGCGCGAACAATGCGCGTCAAACGGCAACGGCTATTGAATTTCGGCGAATCGGATAATCCGCGTTCTAGACTCCGAATCCGTATCCGTCCATTCGATACATACCAGTCCGGCCGGATAATCACGCGCTCGCATTTTATTAATCGACATGGGATTTTGTTAATTACGCGGGAGTATTATGCGGCGGCAAAGTACCGGGAGAAATGCCGAGTGACGCAGCTGGCCCGCTTGAAAAGCCCGTGTTTGGACGCCAATGCCGGCGGCGTGTGGTGTGTGGCATCCAACACCACCTGTTATAACTTCTGAAATTACGAAATCCCCCGTACTGTTTGCAATCCGGTCTGTTTGAAGCTTGCCACGTGCTTAACTTTACGTATATGGCACAGCCATAATTTCACTTTGTTGACGGTGCAGCGACGAATTCTAATTAACGCAGCGCGTGCGACCGTTCCGCGGTTCTATATTCGATATATTGTCGATAGGAAATTTCATACGCGCGAGAGAGATGTAATTTATAAATCAGAAATGTTACGGAACATTGCACATTATTAATTCAGATGCAAAACTAATGCGCAGAATCTTGAAATTCTAGGAAAGAGCAAGAACATGTCATGTCCTTGCACCATATCCGTGATCCTAGTTTCTTTTTTCAAACACATTTTACAGTTTCACCAATAACGATTCTTATATTTATAACCAATCCGCTTATATACTTGACTGCGTCAATGAATATCGGCAGGCAGACATTATAGAGATGCGATTTACATAATGGTCTATGCTGGTCACGCAAGCGTAGTACAATACAGAGTTGCACAATAAGATTGCAAATTATTAAGAGCTGCAAAAAGACTTCCTTGAAACAGCAGCTTTTTTTCGTAATGTCTTGAAACATGTACAAATATTACAGTGTATATAGACGTCAGCTATGTACACACGTAGATCAAAGAAATACTTTGGAAAACCATTACCTCATAAAACTATTTTAAGATAATACTTGTACATAAAATATTAGATGATCGATAGCATAAAACATTTTTAAACTATAGACCAACCAAATCTTTATAAAACTTTTATGTCGAAAGTAAATAATTTAATAAAGTAAAATATATCTTCTCTCGATTTAATAATTATTTAAATGAATTTAAAAGCAAATACAAGAATAAAAATATTCCCATTATCATGTCTGTCGAGGCTATTCTTAACAGCATTAGCTTTCAAAAGCTTTAGATCACAACACCTCGACATTTATCGCTACGGCAGTTTTTAAAGGCAGAACACGTGTTCTACGCTATACAAGAAGGGTGGGCGTCAAAGGAAACAGCCAGTGACCTCGAGAAGCGTCCGTCATATTTAGGACACCCGATAGACGATAACTATGCTCCAGGATGCCAGCTGATATAGAAACCGTGCGTATGCGATTCATCTCTATTAAGTTACATTATTCATTCATATTTTCCTCTCAATTCATTGATATTATTTAATGAGGATGGATATTATTATATCACATGTAATCATATAATCAATGCAATAAATGAATATAAGTAAAATATGAGCAGATTCGATATGAGCAATTTCGTATGTTAAACAGATATTTGAAGCATTATTATATGTATATTAATTACGAGTATTAATGTTATATATAAATTCAATAATTTAATATATTTATATTTGTGAAAGCACCTTTCTTTCAAATAATTAAAAATATTAAATTGTTTTCAATTATTTATTTCTATGCTATGTGCTTTACGCTTTCATTGGGTAATGTGTTCTCGTCCGATAGAAATGCGTGGGAGACATTTATCTCAGCTATCGTGCTAACTACTTTCAACAAAGCTGATTAAAAACATTTTTGGCGTGATGCGAAATAATTAGGTCACCCCAGATAAGATTTTATATTTCTGTAACAGCAATCGCGACGATTTCGCGACACAGGATGACGCTGAATGGGAAGAAACGGATGAACAGCGCCGATTAAAAAAAATCAGTTGAAGCTGATATGACTTACCAAACGATGACAGTTTGCGTAGCGGTTACGTTACTGCGATAATATTATACTGAGTATCCGGCGTGATGTGACGTCGCATCCAATATTGCATGCAGTGAGACGTGGAAAATAACATAATAAGAATGGAGTATTCTTATACTGTAGAAGAAGCACCTCCCGACGATGTTCCCAGCGTGGAGCACGACATTCGACGCGCGAAGAAATTTCTTCAGAAACACAGCACGGAATCGGGTGACAGCTTGTAAGCGGACCACTGAATTTCCTGCGATAAAAATTATGCAATTGTATTCTCCTTGCATTCATTTATTTCCAATATACATATAATATTTCATATACATTTACCGTAATAACTGTGTTCCGCTAAAGAGATCGATCTGATGATGAGACCATGGAAAAAGCAATTATTCCATGTCAATCCTGAAATTATAAATTTGTTTAAATTCTTTTATTATGAAAACCTGATATAATAAAATGAAGAAAAAAAAGAAAATTAAACAAAATAACGAACAAACAAATTATAATTAATTTATTGTTGATGATCCTTTCTAGATATGACCATCTAACTGAACTTTTAGCAAAAATACTTGCTGAGCAGCCGCGAAACGCAGTTGATATTTTCGAGGAGTACAGCAGAAAATTGAAGGAGGAGAGATTTAAGACTAAGACGGATCATCTTCGGGATCTGTATGTACCACCCGTGCAATACGACGATGCCAAGAAGCTCATTAAGCTCTTCCAGGTGCGGTCTGACAAGTAACAGATAATGAAACCGCGATACACACACTGAGTTTCCCTCGGATAAATAACATGCAAATGGCGCAAACGAGGCAAACTATAATCTTCGTTTTACTGTGCCTTTCAATCTTCCTGCAATCATGGCAGAGTGCAAGACAAATTGACGAGGGCGAGCAGGAGAGAATGGAGGATGAAGAGGAGGATGATAAGAAGAAAAAGTATCCCGATATGCTGGATCTTTTGTTTTACTTCGAGCAGACGGGTGTAGGATTGCCGCGACACGAAATGGTGTTGCTTAATTTATCGATTCGGAAGCTGGCCTCCACCGTGCCCCTTGAAAATATTAGGTATTCAATTTGAATAATAGCTAATAGGTATATTTCAAACCTGGGTATCATATTCTGTTTTCTCCGTTTATTCACTATATCTATTTTTTTAAATCTTAATTCGTGTCTCAGGTTTTGGGGTAAAATACTTGGAAACCCCAAAAATTATTATGTAGTGGAAGCTGAATTTCAAGCGGATGAACTTGCTCGAAGATTAGAGGTGAAATATTAAAATTATTAAAATACGCAATTTCTGAAATGTTTTTTGTTGATCTCTGACACGCTCTCTCAAAGTAAATTTTTTTAAATATCATAAAAGATGTATAAATGTTTAATTCATAGAATATACACGTTTTCTAAAATCTTGTTTAACATTAAATTTACGACGCTAAAAAAATTAACTATGGAAATATTTATAATGTCGATATATTTATTATATACCTATATTTATATCTAGAAAGTTAAAATAAAAGAGATATCTTTCGCAGAGTATTAAAGCAGCTTTATTCGAATTTTCTTTGACTAAATGAATGTTTACTGCAGTTATGTATTAATTGTTCTGTGTTATAAAATCTTAAAATCCTCTAAGAATATCATAATGTTTTCTTTAAAAATAGCAAGAGACAGTCGAGATACAAACTCCGAGAGAGAAAGAGGAACTCGAAACGGCAGCAAAACTCGCGGAAAAAGAAGACGAAATGGCAAAAACCGAGAGGGAAGCCGTGGATGGAACCGTCGAAGCAACGGAAATCCCGCACGAGAATACGGGAATAGGAAAACCCTTGAAGCTTGTCTTTCCTCCGTTGCCTGTTAATCCGTGGAGACCGCTGCCGGAAGTACCGGTTGAAAGAATCGGGAGCGGTTTGAATAAAAAAGTGCGCGTTTACGAGCTCTCAATTACTTGGAGTATCAAAGGCGATGCACATTCCGCGCGTATAACGAAATTAATATTCGACTCGCATCGTATCGCTTATTTTTCTCTCCTTTTTTTAATAATCTCTCCACCTCTCACGCTCTGATGATATTTAGGTGTATTTTGTATGCAACGCGCCTGGATTGGACGAGTGGATCGAACTTCCGGCGATTACGCCGCAGCAGATAGTAATTGCACGACAGATTGTTCGATATTGTACGGGAAACTTGGAGACACCGGTACGTGATGCCTTTTAATGAACGAGCCCTAGGTTAGAGCAATGTTATTTGTGAACACGTCCATAATGCATCTATAACGTTAGCCCACATATCGCCTTATTATCCGCGATATCTGGTGGCGAAACAATGTTAGAATTGCACGAGATGACTTACGGTAAAGTAAAGGTAGATGAATAGAGAATCGAGAGATTATGAATTACGGTAAAATTATAAAAATTTCGGTCAATATATGTATATAGCAATTAGTAAGAAGCATAAGAATATAATCGCTCTTTGGTAATCGAGCGCAATTAGCAAAATTAATTGAATCAAAGTTAAAATCAAACTATAAGCGCGAATATAAATTGATAAAGTTAATTTGAATTTTGAATGCTTAAAGCCGACTTAATCAATTTGTTTCCCATTATCTCAGCGTTGTTATGTTGCTTTCGTATTCACGGAGCAGATTCACAGCTTCCCGCCGTTTCCCGGTGTTGAGAAAAATTACCTTCGCGCACAAATTACAAGGATCAGCGCAACCACTCACGTTTCGCCGATCGGTTTCTTCACGCTTGGTGGAGAAGAGGAGGATGAGATAGAAGAAGAAAGAGAGAAGGGTAATACTTAACAAACTTGTTGAATCATTTTTCTGACGGAAAGGATGATTGAAAGAGATGAGAATTCGTAATAATTCTTAGTTACGTTAATCCTATACATTTATGCAAATTTCACCATTTTACATAGCAGTCTATGCAGAAGGGGAGTTAGTAGAAAACGTGAATTATGAACCGCTGTCGATTAAAGCTCTCGTAGATCCCACCATGTCAAATTGGTGTCATCATAGCCCGTATATTCTCAAACAAGGACGAATTAGCTGGTGGAATCCCGAGAAAGGAGACGATATTGTAGACGTATGTTAGCTAATGAATTATTTTATAGTTACGATTGTAAAATTCACAATTACGTGAAAATATGTCTTCAAGTTTTAACAGGAAACTTTTTAATTACTTACGTAGGAAGAACTCGAAGAGGAAGATGAAGTGGAGAGAGACGAAGTCAAGACGATCGAAAAAGAAATCGGACCACCTCTGTTAACTCCTTTGTCCGAAGATGCCACTATTGATTTTGCGGTACCATGGACTGTCAGGCAGTCATCATATCTGCAACCAGACAATGCAGTAGCTTTAGTCAGATCAAATGTATGGCCCGGAGCTTTCTCATTTGCAGTTGGAAAGTATGTTGTGCTAATTATTGAAATATATTTATTAAAATTTTAATTTAGAATCATAAAAACGAAAGAGAGAAGGAAAAGAAGAAAGCTATTAATTAACAAATATATTAAAATAATATTGCATAATAAAAGATATAATTAGCAAGCATAATATTAATATTAATTATATTAAATATATTATATATATTTATATCAAATATTTAATAAATTATATTAAATATATGAATTATATTAAATGTAATATAATTTATATAATTATATTAAATATACGCGGAGAGAATTTTCTTTTAGAATTTACCTTGAAAATCATAGTAATTGTGACAATATGGTATTGAAAGAGATTCTCTGGTTAATATTTATCACAATAAAAAATATTAATATGTATATAGTAAAATTAATCGAACATATTTTATATCTTATTGCGGTAAGTATTAAAATTTTTTATTGTGGTAAATATATATTAATCAAAGAAACTCTTATCAAATTTTTTCTATACCATATTGTCCCACGATAATCATGATTTTCAAGGTAAATTCTAAAAAAAATTTTCTCTGTGTAGATATTAGTATTGACGATGAATATTATTAATCTCCTCATAATTGCCTGGATAAAAATTCAAAAATATGAAGCATGTGCAAAATATTAATATGTACATATTAAAATTAATCGAATATAATTCATATCTTATTGTGATAGATATTAATTTTTTTATTGTAAATATTATCAGATGAACTCTTATCAAATTTTTCCAATATTGTCTCACAATAATTATCATGATTTTTAGGGTAAATTCTAAGAGAAAATTATCTCTGTATATGAATAATATGATTAAATATTAAATATTAAATATATTAATAATATTTAGTATATTAATAATAATAATTTTCTTTGTGTTTAACAAGAAATTTACTGTGACAAGAAAGTTATAAAATTTATCGCGATAGCGTACGTTATATTATGTGTAAAGTAATTTGAATATATATATATATTCCATGTCTTTCGCATGCGTATTTCACGCGCATTCGACAACCTCATCCTGCTGCGAGAATTTGTGGTCCATACTAACGGAAGAGGAAATTACATCGATCCGCAGTCACGTTACAAGGGAATTAATGCACGCGGGATTATGCTAATGCAATTTAAATATGGTGTCATTTTGCAGACGTTTCGCAAATGTGTACATCGGCTGGGGCCTCAAATACAACGCTTACAATTATAGCCCTTTCAATATGCCGCCTGTTCAAAATCAGTACAAAATCGGGCCAGAAATCATGGAAATTCGCGACCCCATCGTCGACGAAGAAGAGACATGGCGAATGGCGCGCTTTCCACCAACGGGTACCCTTCGAAAATATAATATAATTCTGTAGAATATATGCTTGTTCTCACATTACCTCCAACCATTTTTCCACTCCACAGAAGCAGAAGAAAAGATGTTGGATGAAGAGATGGAGGACGAAGGCGAAGACGATGAGGAAGAAGAGGAATTTGAGGAGGAGGACGACGACGAATAAACTTTTCCGCGCACATCGCGCGTCCATTTGCGATGCATTTCCCGCGATTTTAAACGTTAACTCACTAGTCTTCTCGCAGAGTGCGCTACAGGACGGTCTGAACTTGGCGGTAATGTAGGTTTCAGTTTAAAGCACTCCAAATGGTACCATTGAAAGAATCATGAAAAACATAAAAAACATAACTATTATTATAATGTAAAGTTACTTGAAAAGGAAAATATAATCGTTTATTGTGTGGTATTCACTTTGAAGTGTTATTCTCTTTATCGAATATCTATTTATTTTACTAAATATTGTCGAGCGTTCGTACTTTACCGATGGTACGCATTTGATCACGTGGTTCATGACGTATTGATCACGTGTGCTTGTCTCAGCTGATCGCTCTAACCTTGACACATCGTTGCTCCGTCACATGTACCGCCAATTATTATACTCGTAGAAAATTTGTTTATTTTGGACAAAAATGACTGAAGAAACTACTGAAATTGATTGCGTATTACGACCGATGAATTGTGAAATCAATTTGCTGTCGAGATCCGATGGTTCTACAATGTTTATGCAAGGTATGTGATAAATATTATGTTTGTAAACAACACAATTTTGTTAGTGAAATAGTATTTAATTGTTATTCTCTTGTATATAGGAGATACCACAATTATCGCAGGTGTAAACGGTCCTATAGAAGCAAGGAGTCAAAAAATGGCATATGATAAAGTTTCCGTAGAAGTTACATATACACCTCTTAAAGGACCAGCTAGTAAGTATAATTATTATAGAGATGATCTTTAAGTATATTTAAGTTTTTAAGTGTATTTGAGTTAATGTTGCATTATTGTTTACTGATGATTTCAGAGGTAGATGACAGATTAATTGAAACGTATATAAGGGAGACTTGTGAGTCTGCGATACTGGTCTCATTTCATCCTAATACCATGATATGCATTAATTTGCAAGAGATGCAAGATTCTGGTGGGGTACGTTCTTGTTTTGTCATTATATTAATAACAAATCTTCCCAATCAAAATAATATGCAAGTAAAATATATCTGTGAATAAAAAGAAAAATTTAATTTTCAGTTATTGGCTTGCGCTATTAATGCATCATGTCTGGCATTAATTAATTCAGGACTTGCTATGAAATTTACTATTGCAGCTGTAAGTTGCATGATAGAAAAAGAGACAGGAAATGTAATTGTAGACCCTGATAGCACACAATTAAAGGTATCTATAAATATAGAAACAATAATACATTATCTTTTCAATATATTTTTCATAAAAATAATTTCTTTACAGAATGCAAAGGCAGAGTTTACATTTGCATTTGATAGTATCAACAAGGACATCATATGCTGCCATAGTATCGGTCGATTCTCCCAAAATGAATTCTTAGTCTCCATGGATAAATGTAAACAAGTTAGTCATTTTATATTTGATTTTTATAGGGAAATCATAAAAAAATATGCAAATATAGTATAATACCATCTTGTTTTTTAAATATCATTTCTTCATTTTTTCCTACTTTTTAAAAATAAGAGATAATGTTAATATTGAAATAATTGCTTTTCTTACAATTAGTATCAATTGATACTGTGGTAGGATTTCAATGGTGAAAGGCATCTCTATGATCAATAAAGGATTAGAAAGATAGAGAAATATATTTACCAACTATAAATAAGATGATAGTATACATTGTTTCACATGTAACATTTCTTCTGATATATTTTTTGCTACGCTATATTTATAAAGTGAAACATGTTATTGTAATTATTATTACTAAAAATTGAAGAAAGAACAATCTCTTTCTTAACTTCTATCGATTATACATCTGCACTGCAGTCTGTGCTCGTTGCCAACAGAGGCTGCAACGTATCTCTTGATTCCTGCTGCCCTCTTAGGCAGATTGCTATAATACTCTTTAAATTAAAATCTTAAAAATAAATTTTAGTAAAATAATAAATAACATTTGCAAGGCACTTTAGATATATTTTGACGTTTTTTATTTAAAAATATATTTAAAAAATAAATTTTTTGCACACACAATATATTTATAAAATAAATTTTTTTATAGTAATGTTAATATGCAACAGTAGTTTTTGATATAAATTTGCATAATTAATTGCATTAATTCATTTAAAGAAATAAAATACATTTTTGTTATATGTGTACGTATTAATACAACTAATTGTACTAAAATTTATATCATAAATTATATTATTGAATATTAACATGCTGTAAAAAATTTAAGCAAAATTGATAATAAATCATTAAACATATTAATATATACGCACTAGTAGAAAATAATGAGCGTTTAATTGATATAGTAGATTATGAATTTGATTAATATTAGGCTCTAGTAAACTATTTGTCTTATTTTGAAAGAGATCTACATCTCATTCTACACATACTTACACATGCTTTTCTGCCTTTTTCGTATAATTACTTACACACTGAAAAAAAGTTGTTAACTTGACTAAATCGTTTAACTAAATACTATTTTATTAATTGAATATAGAAATATTTAAATTAAATACAACACATTAAATAACATGTATTTGACTTCAATACTTATATATATATTGAATTAACAAAATAGTAATTTAGTTGAACGCTAGTGAAATTAACAACAATTTTTTTCTCAGTGCATATATAAACATATTATCTTAATATTCAACTGCAAAGACAAGCAAGCAGTAATATATATATATATATATATATATATATATTTGATGAAGTCGCTAATATAAAGTGATATATAATAATAACTAAAAATCTTTTCTCTGTGCGCGATTTACATAATATTCGAAAAATATTCCCTTATGCAAATAAGCTTAGGTTTCAATGTTCCATTTTGTTCGCTTATTATTTGTATTTTATTATCGAGACGCTAACGAGATCTCGAAAGTGAATGCACTGGAAATGCAAGTTGCATTCAGCGCGCATTCGGCTTTGGCGCGTTTAAAGAGGAGCGGATATCTGTCGGTAGAGCCACGCCCGATCGCCAATCACAGGTAGTACCTACCATCGACGTGTATCCTTTGTGTCCTCTGGACCCTTTTAGTACCCTCTTTCTAGCTCTCGGGAGTTCAGAGATTTAGTGGGATGAGAGGGAAGGACGGGGGGTTGGAAGGTAGGGAGCATCTCGGGACGTCCATTAAATACAGAAATGAGCCTTCCAAGAGCACCTCGAACGGGTCGGACCAGATCCTCTCTGGCCGGGCCCAAGACTAAAAGAGAGATAGAGAGAATAAGAAGGGCCGAGTGAGAAAGAGAGAGTCCAAGCCGGGTCAGACCGGGCCACGTTTAGCTGAGGTCGCCCCGGGCCCCCAGACCATTAACAAGGAGCGGAGCAATTTATGGACCGGCTCGCTCATTTCCACTTTATTATTATTTTCTCATCTCATAGATGGTCTTCCACGTCGTTTTGTTCTGCCGCGCCTGCCCCCTTTCCTCTCCTACCCCGTCGCTCCTCGCGTCCAGCAGCTTCATCCTCCTTTACCTTGTATCTCTCCCTTCGTTTCTCTCTTTCTCTCGTGAAATTAATACCCACGGCTGAGCCGGAGAGCCACCGGCGAGCCGCGGCGACTCGGCGATGAACTCAGAGAAAGGGTACCTTCTCGGATGGGCAAAAAATTGCGGAACGCGAAATATTATTGCGCCTCATCGCCTCCTCCTGTCCTCTCGCGGGACCTTACATTGGTCATAATTTTGACCGCGTTCACCGGTTTCTCGATATATATATACTACGCCATATACGTATGCGGAAGTTGACTATGTTTATGTGCACGTTGTATTAATTATATATTACATGACGTAGTTTTGTAGCTACTCAACAGCTCACTGACTATGACGCGATGCCACTTATTGTTAGCACGAAAGAGATCGTCGTGTAGTGCTTCCTATCGTGACGATTGCTTGTTGTAGATATGTAATTTGTTACACACTTAAGTAAATGAGACATTTCACACTGAAGACTTCTATTCTATGCAGATTTTTCGGTAAATAAAACATGAAAGAAATAAAATTACATGATAAAAGTTTATCTGATTACGACAACAAATTGCAATTAGTACAATAGTGAGAATTGATTGCATCAAATCCATTTTAACGAGAATTATTTCTTACACTTTAATATCTTATCTATCTTTGAAGCTAGCGATATACATTGCACATTATTTCCACGAAATTCTATCTCATACAAATATTCTACTCATAAAAAATATTCCAGTCGCGAGAGAAAGTAACACTATCGGTAGTTTATTTATTTTAATATTTTTCTTTGCTAAATAAACAGATTTTTTTAATGAAAAGCGAATATCTTACATACACAAAGAGAATTTTCTCTTAGAACTTACTCTGAAAATGATCGAGAAACAATATTGGTATTAGAGGAATTTTATAAAAGTTTCTCTAATATCAATATTTACCATTATAAAAATATTAATGTCTACCACAATAAGATATAAAATATGTTCAATTAATTTTATCATGTACATATTAATATTTTTATTGTAATATATATTAATCAGAGAAACTCTTATAAAATTTTTTCAATACCATATTGTCCCACGATTACCATGATTTTCAGGGTAAATTCTAGAGAAAATTCTTTCCGTAGAAATGTTTGAGTTGAATTAAAAAAAAAATTTTTTTATCCGACAGTATTATCAATATATTTTTCGAGATAAATTTGCTGTCGGCATTTATTTTTATTTTTATTATGAGTATCGTTCCTTCCACATGTGGATTTTGCTTGGTATAAGTTCGCGTGACGCCGTATGCTGGCCGATAAATCCCCTGTACGCGAGTTAATTTTAAACGATCACGACTTCCAACTGCGATGACAACGTGTATACGGCGATCTGGCGCGGTCCCTGCTCTCCTCGTATATTATAAAAGATTTCCGCGGCGATCCTTGTTGCGCTTAACTCTCGTATTCCTGAGTTAAGAGCCCTCGGATAAGCTCTCCATTTTACGATTCGGACCTATAACGCTCGAAAGCGCGTTTCGGAGCAAAACAGGCGCCTTTCGCTGCCTCTGCTTCGAGGAGGTGGACCTGTCCGGGTCTTTTTGGTCCTCGTCTCTCTCTTTTCTCTACGGGTTCGCTCATCGCCTTGACTCGTCCCTTGAACCGATGCTCGCCCATTGGCGCGAGGGTAGTTGTTATGAAATTAGCATGAGCGATCGAGTTAAGGCCGCGAAGATAATCGTTTCGAGGGTACAGCGCGAGGGATTGGTGTAGACCGAATGCTTTGCCCAATGCCGCCGATCGTAAGGTCCAGGATGCTACCTTCATCACATCCCATTGGCCCAGGACGATTTACGATCGTCTTGCCCCAAACGTCTTTGGTCGTCCGTGCACGGTGAAGGAAATCGCGGTTCATGGCTCGCAATTAAGAATAGCGATGTCTCAATGGATGCCGAAGTGCTGGTCAGCTCGTGTCAATACCTCGATTCCGATTCCTGTATCTTCTTAATTTTCAACCGTGATAGTTGTAATAAAACTAAAGAAATATTATTCAATTTTTCATTCATTGCGATTAATCTCTAAATCAACGTAATGTAATTATTGTTTTATATTTTTCTACTTTCGAATAATTTATTGTAAAAGAGGGCTTAATTATGTTAAGTATTTTTATCAGAGTTTGAATAATTTAAAATCATGTAAATATCGAGCGGGGAAATCATTTATGAATGTAAGAAATGTAATAGAGACACCAGAGGCCCGCATAGTGTCAAAGCTGAAATTCTATATAGATATTAGCTGGCAATGCCAAAAAGCAGCGAGAAAGCCGGAGAAGAGCGGCGCCAAGTCGAAGGCGAAAGTCGCTTGACGCGTGACATGACTGAAAGTGACAGCCGCCGTGTGTAGGACAGGAATCGTACGTCGAGGAACTGACACCGGAGGGATCGGGGACCTCATCTCTTTGCCGGTCAGGGGGCCCCCAGGTGTAGGCTTCTCCTCGTCGAGAATGACGAATTCTCATCATTCGTCTCGTTCGCTGAATTTATCAACGTACTCCGTACTAACACATCGACGCGCTTTTTCGGATACGAAATACGCGTATTATTAGCGAATTATTATTATTACCGCAGAATGATTAAAGAGTCAATAAGTTTTCGTTTAACATATTCAGAATAGGCTGTTAACAGCGACTGTTACCAACCTTGACTTTTTATAAATAATATCGTAAGATATTCACTTATGAAATATTAAAAGAAATACAAAATGTTCATACGAATGAATATTTCGCGTCCTTTTATTAAGATAAAACATTCGAATCGACAGCCGCCTTGTGTACGACAAAGATTGCACGTCCATCAATGGATGGTTCAGGGACTGTTTCGTTGGCGAGAATTTCAGACAGGTTCTGGATGGACCTCCGTGTCGAGAATGATAGATTCCCATCACATATCTCAATGATTAAATTCTTTATTATTTTGCTTCGAGAAGAATATTTAATTTACTCAGTATACGCGCGTATTACATATTCATATATAATTAACATTCAAATTAAAAATAAAAATAAGCATTTTCTCTTTTTAAGCATTTAAGCATCAGTATCTTACTTTTTTTCTCATTTTTTCGGCATAAAAATAGTCGAGCAGAAAAATAAAACAAACATAGTATATAAATGCGACGATAGGAAGCAAATAAGGTAGCGTGATTGGACGATATCATTCTAATAAATTACGATTGCGGGAATGAGTATGTACAATAATTGGTCGGCCATGTCGATAAGTGGAAAAGCCGAGGATGATCGTAACGAGAGGAAGGGCAACGAACGATCGCGATGAACACGAGCAGTATCCCGCGGCGCGACATTGTCCGATCGGATCGCCAAGTAAGATTGATGGTTTCTTAATAACCGAGAAAAACCGGCAAAACGATCCGCTTGCCGCGACACTGCGGGTGGTCAACAGTGCGCATTA